GAGTTTACAAAGCAAAGCTCCAGCTGTGATGTTTTGTAATTATATGCATCACAAGCCTGAGCGGCGTGGCGGCCTAGAGGTGAAGACGCTCTCCTCCCACTTGGTAGATTAAGAGTTCAATTCTAGGCAGCGACAGATGTTTCTCTATCAGGGCACAAAGAGACAATATCTGCTGTGAACTACTCATAGGCATCAGGAAGGGCATGTGGCCAGTAAATGCTCAGCTCCATTCAGTTGCCCCACTTCCACCCCGAATGGAGGGATTACAGGGATTGTAAAAAGAAAAAAAAAGGTGTCACAAACCTATCAGTGCCATCTGTCACATTCTGCAGATATTTTTTTAAAGCCAGTGTCCTTCACCAGATGCATCCAAGCATCATGTTGGGGAGGGCTGATCTAGAATGAATATATATAAATGTACAGCCTGCAAATTGCCCACTCAGATGCCACTTTGAAGCATGTGTTAAATTTTAGACTTTTGCTGACAAAGAATTAAAGGGAGACTAGTATAGCTATTTTGAGCTATTTAGCTCTCATCAGCTAGCCATACCCTTCTGGCCTAGAGGTTAATACAGCTGCCTAACGTGCAAGCAGACCAGGTTCGAATCTCAGAAGGGTATGGCTAGCTGATGAGAGCTAAATAGCTCGAAATAGCTATACTAGTCTCCCTTTAATTCTTTATCAGCAAAAATCTAATATATATATACATATATATGTTGAGAAAAGTAGTTGAACACCGGGATAAATATAAAAACAACTGTTTAATAAACTAACAACTGTTTGATAAACTTAGCTTTCGTCGGCTAACTGCCAACGTCGTCAGAGTGGAATGCCGGAGGTTTGAAAGCCTGCTCATAAGACCGGCAGTTTGTGCGCTCTGCTCATATGCTCATACATATATATACATACACACACATATATACTGTCCGTCAATGGGTGTCCTCTGGGCAGAAGTGTTAAAATTGCCATTGTTTCTCTCAATGTTTAATAACAGCAGTCCCACATGGACTCTACTTTTATCACTGAACCATCCAATTTTTTTAACCACCACCACATTAATCCAATCTTAATATTATGCACGCTTCAAACTGATTTGGAAGAAATCCTTTGGATCTCATATGAATACGGTGCTTCTCTGCAGTTCATTTAAGCAGTCTCAACTTTTTTTTTCAGATTGCATCAGTCTGGAGGGGGGGGGCAGACTGAATGGCTGAAAGCCATTGCAGCATTTTTCAGACTGAATACAAAACTCTGAAAAAAAAAACCACATTGTGCTGCATGAATGAATAGCTCCCAAGGCATTGGCAGGGGTAGAGATTCGATCAATATCACAGCTGTAGCCATGCCTTGCACCAAAAGGGCAGAACATCAAATACATCGCCATCTTGAATTTTTTTTTTTACATTCTTTCCCCATAATGCCCTGAGGGAGGTGTTCAATTCATCACAGCACCAAAACATTTCTTCAGAATCATTTTCAGAATTGTGGGTTAGGTAGCTCTTAGTAACAACACAGAAATTAGAAGCAAAGGTCTAAATCCTGTTGTTTGCCTCTACACATCCAACTAGTTCTTGATCACCCACATTATTTAACTCCTGTATATTTTTCTTCCACTTCTTTCTATTCCTAAGTCTTAGTTTCTTGCCAAATCTAAAACACTCTACATCAGGGGTTTTCAAACGTGGCCTTTTTATGGACTTCAACTCCCAGAATTCCTCAGCCAGGCCTGGCTGAGGAATTCTGGGAGTTGAAGTCCACAAGTCATAAAAGGGCCAGGTTTGAAGACCCCTTGCTCTACATAGTCAATTTTGAGGGGGTTTTGGTGCTCTCTGAGCTGAGTTATTTTCTTGCAGACCTTTCATTAGCAAACTAGGTAACATCATCAGTGCTCATGATGCTACCTAGTTTGGTAATTAAAAAGTCTGCAAGAAAACAATCAAGATCAGAGAGTACCAAAGATCTCTTATTTCAACCCTGAGCTACAAATATTCTCCTTTATCTATCAACAATCTTGTTTTTACACCGAGAATATCAGAACGGCTTATTGGAATTGTCCAAGATCTGCATAACAAGGCTGAGCAAGCTTCAAAATGTTTCAGAAGTTTTTCTGAACTTTCATGGGGACATCTGCCTACTTTAATAAATTTAAAGTCCAAAGTACTAACAACAACAACAATAATAATAATAATAATAATAATAATAATAATAAGGTTGGAGGTCATCTGGTCCAACCAAATGATTCTTCTGAATCATTTGAAACTCAACTATTTAGTCCTACAGTGACCAGCTAAGAAATCCAGAGCGATCTGCTACTCCTGTTCCTCAAAACATAGTTTTTCCTACTGGAATTCAATTATACAGTTGCAAGGTTTTCTCTGCCCTACATATTGTCCCAGGTTTTCATGAGGCTGCTGAAAGATGGCAATAATTAGGTTTAACTTAATAGATACAGAAGGATGCTTCATTCATTCACTCTTGTGAGATCTGCTAAGCCTAGCGTCTCTTGGCACCGGGTTGAAATTGTGGTAAATGCTTAAAATGTTCTTTATTGATTCATTCTGCACACTGCTCACAGCTTTATGCCCCGTGCTGAGTGATGGCCAAATTGCAGTGCGCAATTAATTCCCCCTTAAGAACTTCAAGGGAAAAAGTACAGAAAAGTAGATTTTTCACCGGGGAAATAACAGACCCATTTCAAGTTCTCTTATTCCCTTCCTACAAAGTTTATTTAGAACATACCTGTAATATTTCCTCACCCTAATCCATTTTCTTGGTTGCTATTATTGATGGTAGATTATGGACACAAGTAGGTATCAACATATTCCTAAAATAGATTAATATGTAAAGGTAGCCCTTGACGTACGACCACACTTGACCCCAAACTTTATGTTGCTAAGTGAGGCAGTTGTTAAGGTAATTTTGCCCCATTTTACGACCTTTCTTGCACAGTTGTTAAGTGAATCACTGCAGCTGTTAAATTAGTAACACAGTTGTTACTTTGATTACTATCCCTATTGCAGGGGTAGGCAACCTTGGCTCTTTTATGACTGGTGGACTTCAACTCCCAGAATTCCTGAGCCAGCCATGCTGAGGTGAAAGGGAGAGGTTTCCAAGCTGAGCCATGCTGGCTCAGGACTTCTGGGAGTTGAAGTCCACCAGTCATAAAAGAGCCAAGGTTGCCTACCCCTGCCCTATTGACTTCGTTGTCAGAAAGTCGCGAAAAGGGATCACATCATCCCAGGACACTGCAATTGTCATAAATAGGAGTCAGTTGCCAAGCCTCTGAATTTTGATCGTGTCATGTCGTGCTGCAACAGTTCTAGGTGTGAAAAATGATCGTTAAGTCCCTTTTTCCGGTGCCGTTGTAACTTCGAACGGTCATTAAATGAACTGTCGTAAGTCTAGGACTCCCTGTATGTGGAAGCCATACACTTTTTAACCAGGAGTATCTGCTGAGAGTAGGTCTCTTCGTTACAGAATGAAAGCAATTTCTGCCATATGTCCATTTATGGACACTGTGTAGGAAATTAGCACATGGGCCGAACTGCACTGTGTCTTCCATATGGCAATCAGTGCATAAATCCTGACCCTTAGACATATTGTGATCTGGGTATCAGTGGTTAATTATTCCCTTGACATTAGCTGAAATTAATTAACTTCCTTATCTGCTAAATTATATCCACATTTGAAATTTCTCTCCTGAAAGCTTTTCCTGGGGAAAATGCTAATTGTAACCACATGACCCCATTTCGCTCTCTCTCTCGCTCTCGCTCTCTGTCTCTCTCATACACAGACACAGACACACACACACAGAGTTTCTGCTTTCAAACATGCCACTTGTTCCATATATGTATGCAATGTCCCATATTAATTATTCCTGTATTGCCTACATCAATGTTTCTCAACCTTGGCAACTTTAAGACAGGTGGCTGGCTGGGGAATTCTGGGAGTTGAAGTCCCATCTGAAAGTTGCTAAGGTTGAGAAACACTGGCCTACAGCATTTGGAGCAGGAAGTTTACTTGTCCTTCAGAAAGTTTCGAAGTGGGGTTATAGATGCCCTAAGGAAGAGGGGAAGCCAATGCCAAAAAACCAGCAACAATCCATCTGAATGGGATTAAGCAAAGAAGGGATGGTAGAGCAAAAGAGGGTGACAGGTATCAATAACCCCCCCAAGCATTTATTTGTACAAGATGAGAATGTCCAGCTTAACGCAGATATGAGAATGAACTATTGGTAACCCTTGTTTCTTTGCTTTATATATAATGAGTAATGTTTTAAAGAGAGATTATGTTGAGACTGATGGTAAATTTGGACCTCTTTAATTTTAGTGCACAGCTTCAATATGGAATCTAGTCGAGGTACTGTAGACCATTTACCATTTTACTCCTGCACCTATTTGTCTAGCTTAAATTATATAAAGTTGTTGTTCTGCTTTGAGTAATGTTTAAATGTGTCGAATTTGATGACAGGAGAAACCTGTCAGGTGTCTTGCATTATTCGGTCATCAACAGCTCCACCGGGGCTGTTGGAAGCACGTGAGCCATCAGCCTCCCTGGGTAAACAATTTGGGTTTTCAAAATTGATAATAGTGCCAAGTCGCAACATGAAGTTTTGTAAGCGTATTGATGTCTCTGTGAAATATTACAAAGCTCTAGTTGAGGCAAAATGCCCTGATAGAAGTTTAATGAACCAATGGGGTATGAATTTGAGTTTAGGCCGACATAGTTAACTTCTCCATCTGAGGCAGATAGGAAGAACAAATTGCCTTTACAAAATAGCAGCCAGTCTCAAAAATCTCCTGCTTTCTACGATCCGTTTTTAAAAAGAAAATCCCTCCTCTTAATTTACTTTAATCCAAAGGTCACATGCAGAATATTAAAAAGAGAGAGAGAGAAAGAGACCAAATAAAACAACTTGACATATACCCTAGAACAGTGGTGGCGAACCTATGGGCATGCGCGCCAGAGGTGGCACTCAGAGCCCTCTCTGTGGGCACGTGCGCCATGCCCCGGAGACGGCATGCCCCTCTTCAACCAGCCACCTGCTAACTCGCTGAGGTCCCACGTGGCCGGATGCATCCCGACACGGCTAGTTTCCCTCCCTCCCGTCCTGTCTCTCCTGGCCTCTCATGCTCTCCTTTTCCCGGGCATGACCCACTGCATCGCCTCCTCAGTTGTCGGCCGGCCATCCAGCTCAGAGGCGGCTTCTTTGAACTGCTGGCGGCGGGCTGTGGAGCCCCAGAGTGCGCCGGTCGAGGGGCTGGCAGGCTGTGGCTGCTGACGGACACCATTGGCCCCCATGCGCTCACTGGCATCTGTGTGTGGGGGCCGATGGTATCAGGCAGCAGCCGCCCCAGCCCCTGCCTTGCCCCATGGCAATGGCACCCCCGCCCTGCCTCGCCTCACCCCGCAGGACAAGCCTACTGCCCCACCTGCCAGAGACCCAATGGATCTCCCCCAACCCTGCCCACCCCCACAGGCGTCCCTCCGCACGAGCAATATTGAGGTGACCACACCCACCTTGGCTACACCCACCCAATCTGCCATGACCACCACAGCCACGCCCACCCAGTGGGCCACGCCCACCTGGCACCCAGCGATAAATAAGTGGGTTTTGGGTTGCAGTTTGGGCACTCGGTCTCTAAAAGGTTCGCCATCACTGCCCTAGAACAGTGGTTCTCAACTTTTTCTTCACCAGGGAACCCCTTTAAATACCTTTTGTGGCCACAGATTATGGCCACGGACCCCCAAGGCTTAACTCAAGAATTAAATCATAACATTTCCTCAAGCTTTGCAGAACCCCCAGGACAACAGTGCGCACGCACACACCCCGGGGTCGGTGGATCCCAGGTTGAGAACCACTGCCCTAGAACTTAAAATGCAAGTAAAAGTAGACACAACCCTTTGCCAAACATTAGTCCCCTTAAATCGTGCTAACCGGCAAGCCGTGAGTGAGGTACATAACAGTTTGTGTAAACTGTGCGTTGATTGGAGATAATAAACATAAAATTCAACCTTCCTGCTTAACCAACATCTTCAAAAAGGGCACGATCCGCGTCCTACAGATACCTTCATAATATGAATAACATAGGATGTGTCATTTACTGCCTGACACTCCTTTCTGTAGTTTAGCTTTAAGAATGGCACTCCGCCACACCAGTTTTTTAAATCCAACTTTTTCCCCACTTGGGTAGCTTTAGACAAATGCCTTCCTTTCTGCTGACAGAAATGGAGCACCCCTTAATCAGAATGAGAAATGCCAATTGAAATGGCACTGCCAACCCTGAATGAGAAATAGCCTAATCAAGAAATGATGAGGTAAAGATTAGACTCATCAGGCAAAATTTTGGAGCAAAAGGCTGAAATGGTTGAGCCTGGTTCTCAATCTGCGTTAGTTTTTCCTCAATCTTGACAACTTTTAAGACCTGTGGACTTCAACTCCCAGAATTCCCCAGCCATCCTGGGGCAGCGGGGGCATTCTGGGAGTTGAAACCCACACATCTTAAAAGTTGCCAAGGTTGAGATACGCTACCCCGTACCAACAATAATCCTGCTTATTGCTAAATAAATACATACTAAATGATAAACTTCTGGTTCTGCCCTTCAAATAAGGGGAACATAAGAGGATTCATCCCTCTTTATGGAAGAGAAAGCATAGCTCTTGAAGCTGATTTGCAAAAACATGGTTTGCAAAACACTTCAGTTATTATTGCCTGGACTGCCTCTTGTTCAATTAAAATCTTATTGAGTTATTTTTTTTTAAAACTTGGTATTCTTGCCAGGTATACATGGACAAAGGCCAAAAGGAAGCAAGTGTTGTTGTCAGCGCTCAAATTGATTTCCCCAAAATAGCTGGACTGTAAAATGGATTCTTCATTTTGCTCACTGATCCCAAGGGCAGTGATACAGATTTAAAAAGAGAGAGAGAGAGAGAGAGCTTGCTTTAAATTTTTTGCTCAGTTCTGTAATGATAGCGGGCTTCGATCTCTCTGCATTCAGCTCGCTTCGTTTAGAAGCCTTTTAAAATTGTTAACAGTCACCACCATCGTCGGTTGTGGAGGAAATTGAAGGAACTGTGCTGTGGTTTCATTTCTTAATTTTAGTTCGGAAGCCCGGATTTCAAATACTAACTAGGCCAGGGGTAGGCAACCTTGGCTCTTTTATGACTCGTGGACTTCAACTCCCAGAATTCTTGAGCCAGCCACGCTGAGGGGAAAGGGAGAGTTTCCAAGCTGAGCCATGCTGGCTCAGGAATTCTGGGAGTTGAAGTCCACGAGTCATAAAAGAGCCAAGATTGCCTACCCGTGAACTAGGCTAAAAGACTTAGAAATCAAGGTCTTTTCAGCATGCTAGATTTCTTGAATTAGCAAAGCTTTCACCGTGTCACAGTACTGCTATGAAATCAACTTGAATTTGCAAGTATTTCACAGCCTTTTCTTACAAGGCACCCTGGGAAATGTCAATTTCAAAGGGTATTTTTTTTTTATTTTTTTTTTTAAAGAAATGTTAAAACTGTTATTAAATCCCACCAAATTTGGTATAAATGGTACTCACTTCCCATCAAACTCTGTCAGACAAAGTAAGGACTGCCCTATGTTTTTTAAGTCAAATCCCCAGCAAATTCCTGTTCATTGACCATGCGGATTGAGGATGATGAATCCAGTGCAGATAGAAGGCACTAAATGAGACCTCAGCCACTGCTTTTTCTAGCATAATAATAATAATAATAATAATAATAATAATAATAATAATAATAACAACAACAACAACAACAACAACAACAACAACAACAACAACAATAATAATAATAATAGCAGCAGCAAGGGTAATACCAATATAATAGGTACCTTGGGTGCAATCCCAAAACAACTGGAGCACCACTTGAACACCATTGGCATTGACAAATTTGCCATTAGTCAATTTCAAAAGGCGGCCTTACTAGAAACTGCTTCCATCCTGCGATGATATCTGTAATACCATCAAACATCCACATCTGCCTATCCCAAGTCCTCGGTAAGGACTCGATAGGTAGACAAAAATGCCAAATCCAGTCTGAACATCTGGCTGACTGTGCGATGATGATATAATAATAATAATAATAATAATAATAATAATAATAATAATAATAATAATAATAATAATAATAATAATAATAATAATAATAATAATAATAATGAGGTACCTAGTTGATACCTAAGATGCTGGCAGCAACCTGTGTCAACCATCAGCGCCAGTCAATTTGAATGTTCAGTTCACTGAGGTTCACATCTAATGAATAATAATAATGATGATGATGATGATGTACCTGGTTGATACCTAGGATGCTGGCAGCAACCCGTGTCAACCAACAGCACCAATCAATTGGAATATTCAGTTGATTGAGGTTCACGTCTAATGAATAATAATGATAATAATGATAATGATAATAAAGTTGGAAGGGACCTTGAAGGTCTTCTAGTTCAACCCCCTGCTCAGGCAGGAAACCCTATACCATTTCAGACAAATGGCTGTGCAGTCTCTTCTTAAAAACTTCCAGTGTTGGAGCATTCACCGCTTCTGGAAGCAGGTTGTTCCACTGGTTAATTGTTCTAACTGTCAGGAAGTTTCTCCTTAGTTAAATGATGTGCTCCTTCAAACACACACTATTGTTCTTATAGATACTTGGAAGGTGTTTTAGAAGCCAATATCTTCCTGTTTCTAAAATATTCCATTGTTCCATGCCGTTTGTCCTTCTGCAACCTGCACTGGTATATTTTGTCCTCGCAAGTCCCATTTCCAATTCTCACACTGAGGAGGACCGCCAGTACAGGTAGTCCTCGACTTACGACCACAATTGAGCCCAAATTTTCTGCTGTTAGGTGAGACATTTGTTAAGTGAGCTTTGCCCCATTTTGCGACCTTTCTTGCCACAGTGGTTAAGTGAATCACTGCAGTTGTTAAGTGAGTAACAAGGCTGTTTTAAGTGAATCTGGCTTCCCCATTGACTTTGCTTGCCAGAAGGTCGCAAAAGGGGATCACGTGACCCCGGGACGCTGCAGCCGTCATAAATAATGAGTCAGTTGCCAAGCAACTGAATTTTGATCATGTGACCATGGGGCGTGCTGCTGTGGTCGTGTGAAAAAGGATCACAAATCACTTTTTTCAGTGCCGTTGTAACTTTGAGCAGTCACTAAACAAACTGCTGTAAGTCGAAGACTACCTGTATCGGCAGATTCCACCTCTCGTGCTTCCTGGAAATGACATAATGAACCAAAATCTCTGGAAATGACATAATAAACCAAAATAACCAACATCCAATTAAACCCACCAGAGTTAGCACCAGAAATAAATGCATGTTCACTTTTGTATCCTCCCACCAAGCCAATCCATAGGAAAAGATTGATATGGGTTGGGCTCACATCGGTCTTCCCTCCTACACAACGAGGGTGCCAGCGGAGAATCAGTTGTGAAAGTGATGCTTAGCCTGAAGAAGAATAAAAGACATCCTCACTGAACTTAAACCCTCTTGATATGGGCATGTCCATGTAATTTTCCTTGGCTACAATTCAGAATGGCTTTGACATTGCATTCTTACTAAGAGATCTCCCTGTCTAGCCTACAATCTTGATATTCCCTTGGGGGAGAGGGGATGGTCTCTTTTTTAAACTACTAACTAGATACACCTCTGCTTTGCTTTTTTGAGCTCAGCCCAAGTCAACTAAGAGCTGCAATTGGTAGAGAATCCTTGCGGTGATTATTTGATCACAGAGAAGATCTAATTTAGCATATGCTCTGCAAATAAAAGGGAACCTTTATGACCACGCACACAATCAACAAGTTGCCTAGATGCATAAAATGTTGACGTGAGACTATTTCCGCAGAAGCTCCTAAAGTTTCCCAAAAAAGAGATGAGTAAATATTCTCCTAGTGAGATCCTAAAACGATGGAGGTGGTCATCCATTGGCAGAACACACCAATGGATGGAATGACTATAAAAGTTACTAACTGGTTCCCAAAGATGCCACGGTCCCAAGGATAGGTGGTTTTTACAATGTTGTTTCCAAGAAAGGATGACATTGATCTGGTCTCCTCTCCAGACTAGCAGATAATGATCTTCTCATAGAGCTTTACAATGGCTTGGTAAGGCCACACTGGAATACTGCATCCAGTTTTGGCCACCACGATGTAAAAAAGATGTTGAGACTCTAGAAAGAGTACAGAGGAGAGCAACAAGGATGATCAGGGGACTGGAGGCTAAATATATATAAGGAACAGTTGCTGGAATTGGGTATGTCTAGTTTAATGAAGAGAAGGACGAGGGGGGACAGGATAGCAGTGCTCCAGTATCTCAGGGGCTGCCCCAAAGAAGAGGGAGTCAAGCTATTCTCCAAAGCGCCTGAGGGCAGGACAAGAAGCAACGGATGGAAACTAATCAAGGAGAGAAGCAACCTAAAACTAAGGAGAAACTTCCTGACCGTTAGAACAATTAACCAGTGGAACAACCTGCCTCCAGAAGCGGTGAATGCTCCAACACTGGAAGTTTTTAAGAAGAGACTGGACAGCCATTTGTCTGAAATGGTATAGGGTTTCCTGCCTGAGCAGGGGCTTGGACTAGATGACCTCCAAGGTCCCTTCCAACTTTACTACTACTACTACTACTACTACTACTACTACTACTACTACTACTACTACTATTATTATTATTATTATTATTATTATTATTATTATTATTATTATTATTATTAGCTTTAGGAGTTCTAAATATGAAGTGTCTGGCGTCAGCACTGCCCAACCTTCTCCTGTCAAAGTGTTCCAACGTCACCTTCAATTAAGGAGTGCATTAAATCCCCAACCATAAGCCTTCTCTTCCTAAATGTTGCCCTTTCCCACGACCTCTCCTAAAATCTGCAGATAGGAAGAGTCTGCAGAACCTTAAAGAAGACCTCGTCTCCTTCCTAACTGGTGTCTTATTGATGTAGGTGGAGAACGCAGGTCTCTTTGCCTAAACAAAAGCCCTGAAGGCAGAACCAGAAGCATAAAACCTGAACATAGGAATCAGAATAAATCGTCATTAAAGACCCTGAATCGTGGATCTTTGGGTTTCAAATAGCGGCACCCAGAGAGGAAAGGGGGGAGTCAATCTTCAAGATGGTGGGTGTAAATGCAGGGCTTGAATTGCATCACCAACCTACCGCTTAAGACAGGGGTTTCCAACCTTGGCAACTTCAAGACACGTGGATTTCAACTCCCAGAATTCCCCAGCCAGCTACGCGTAGCTGGCTGGGGAATTCTGGGAGTTGAACTCCATGTGTCTTGAAGTTGCCAGGGTTGGAAAACCCTGATTTAGAAGGTTTTAACCCCCTCTGTAGGAACCCAAGATCTCTGAACCATGGTTGCTTCACAGATTTGACACACTATGGTGGAGGAACAAAGCCTTATTCTCACATTACGCAGTGAAACAGAACAAGTCGCTCACGTGTTCGGCTAGCTGAGTTTATTCAGAACCCTCTAAAGTCAATTTTAGGAGCCATCAGGGTTGCGGGTTTTCTGATATATATATATATATAAGCCCAGGTTCCTCTAAGGCAGTGTTTCTCAACCTTGACAATTTTAAGGCATGTGGACTTCAACTCCCAGAATTCCACAGCCAGCAATGCTGGCTGTGGAATTCTGGGAGTTGAAGTCCACATGCCTTAAAATTGTCAAGGTTGAGAAACACTGCTCTAAGGCATAGGCTTGACTTCCAGTCTTATTTCTATTGTAGGTATTGCTATGTCACTGACAAAAAAAAAAAAGACTTAACTTGGTTTAATTCAATCAAGAGACTGGACAGCCATTTGTCCGAAATGGTATAGGGTTTCCTGCCTGAGCAGGGGGTTGGACTAGATGACCTTCAAGGTCCCTTCCAACTTTACTATTATTATTATTATTACTAATGGGTGTGGTTGCTAAGTGGACATTTTACTGTGCTTTTTAATGCTTAGACATAAGATAGGAGGATCTTTGAGGGACCCTGTGTTAAATGGAAATGAGAACCTATTAGCAGTCTTGCCTATTTCCAATCCTGTTCTTTAGAGCAGCGTTTCTCAATTCTGGCAACTTTAAGACGAGCGGACTTGGACTTCCAGAATTCTCCAACCAGCATGCTGGCTGGGGAATTCTGGGAGTTGAAGTCCGTCTGCCTTAAAGCTGGAGAAACCGCGGCTTCTGAAGGAGGAGGAAAATAGCCATCTTGTCATTTTCCCACTGAGTCTCAGCCTTCCCTCTCCCCTCCCTCCCCACCCCCAATTTTTCCTTTCCTTCTCCCTCCCGGATGATCAACTCAGCTCTGCTGAAGCAAATCAATTAGGGAATTGGGTTATTTTTTTTGTTGTTTTTGTTTTCACTTTTTTGTTTTTTGTTTTCTTTTCTTTTTTTTCTTTTTTCTTTTTTTTTTCTCTTTTTTAATTTATGTACTACAGAGAACAGTGTCGTCTTGTGGCCGTTCTCGTAGACTGTGTTGGTTTAACAAGCGTCCAACCCTTTTTTGTCTTTGTTGTTCTTTTTTCTTTTCTTTTCTCTTTTTTTCTTTCTTTTTTTCTTTCCTTTTTTTTCTTTTCTTTCTTTTTTTGTCTTTCCTGCTCCCTGCCCCCCTGTTCCCACAGGCTGTGCGTTTGTCACGTTTTCGACAAGGGCAATGGCACAGAATGCAATCAAAGCTATGCACCAGTCCCAGACTATGGAGGTACTGTATCATATGCCCTTTCATTGTTTCCTTTTGTGCATATGGCTGAGAATGTAAAGCCGTGTTCTCTCGGAGAAGATCAGATGTGTGACAGTCCTAGGCAAAACTTCCACGCTCACAGCCCCATTTCCCCATACTTCTCTCCCCCCCACCACCAACTCTGTTTCTTTCTGGGGACAGTTGCTTCTCTTAACGCAGTGTTTCTCAACCTTGACCATTTTAAGGCATGTGGACTTCAATTCCCAGAATTCCACAGCCAGCATTGCTGGCTGTGGAATTCTGGGAGTTGAAGTCCACGTGCCTTAAAATGGTCAAGGTTGAGAAACACTGTCTTAACGAGATCTGAGAACAGACCACTCGCTTGTTGTGCCCTCCTTTCAGTGGCATTCAGATTTTTTATTTTTTATTTTTTAAATAACTTTGTGAACATGTCATTTTGCTGTCTGGCATTTAGAATGCTGTTTTTATCTAATAATTTTTTTTGGGAGAAAACAAAAACCCTAATAATAAAGCTGCCAAGCCTAAACTTGGCACCCAAAAAAGGCATAGATATATATTTTTTCCTTTTCCAACTGTTTAGAGGTATCCCTTTATTCCAAGGGGCTAGTCCATATTCGTATGAGCCCCCCCCCCGAAATGGATTGCTAGCGACAGCAAACTTCGATTCCATCTTTGACTTGACAGATATTCACATTTAAATTATCCCTGTGTTTTCAATTTTTTTTTAAAAAAGTGCTGCTCCCTCCGGCCCAGTCCATGATTTTTGCCATGGTTTTTCGGAATTTTGCACGCACACACACACACACACACACACACACAATGCCTCACGAGTCGACTGTGCCTTATTCTGGATCTTCTGAATTAATCATTTAAGACAGCATGTTCTATTGTATTCTGTATTGTGTATCTGTGTATTAATTAATTCTTCTTAAGCATTTGGATGTAATGTGCACTTTTTTCTTGCTTTTTTTTTTTTTTAAAAAAAGACCTCTTGAAATGAGGAACATTCAATATCAAATGCTCTAACCTCCCAAAGCATGCTGGGTACTAAAATCCCAACATTATTTTGTCTGTGTCATTGAATGGCTTTGTGTTATGAGCAAAGAAAGAAAACGATGAAAATATTTTTAAAAATGCATGGAAATGTCTTACGTATTCTTGAGAAACACTGATATTGGCAGTGTCCGTTGTTCTCCAGCCTTCCGTTGAAATTATTTTGATATTTTATAATCAATTTGTCTTTCTTTTCAGTGCTACCCATTTTTTAGATTGTATTAGATGTGATGCTTGCCACAGAAAAGAATCCAAATCACTTGACTAGACGCATGCTTCTGTGTGCAGAATATTATATACTGTATATATATTATATTATATTGTATTATATTATAATATGTAATATATATATAATATATATATAATCTCCATCCTTTTATGTGGCCTGCTTTTAATATTTCAGCAAGTATATTCTATTATGTTTTGCCTAAAGACCAAAGGATGGATAGAGATAAAAGAAAGAAAGAAAGAAAGAAAGAAAGAAAGAAAGAAAGAAAGAAAGAAAGAAAGAAAGAAAGAAAGAAAAAGGTAGGTAGGTAGGTAGGTAGGTAGGTAGATAGATAGATAGATAGATAGATAGATAGATAGATAGATAGATAGATAGATAGATAGATAGATAGATAGATAGATAGATAGATAGATGTATATTTCACATATCTTTGACTGAAAATTTCAGAGGCTTAAAATCAATGTTTATTTGCCTAAGTTTTAAATCCTTATGGTAATTTTGCAAGAAAAAAAAACTCAAAGAGGATATTAAGGACTTGGCTTGTGTCCCTAGGAACTGTCCATTTTGGAAAAAAAAATTCCCACAGATCCTGGCTACGCTGGCAAAGTTTGATGGGACTTGAAGCATGCTGCTCCCAAGGCATGACACCCGTCTAGAACAGGGGTAGGCAACCTTGGCTCTTTTATGACTCGTGGACTTCAACTCCCAGAATTCCTGAGCCAGCACAGCTGGCTCAAGAATTCTGGGAGTTGAAGTCCACGAGTCATAAAAGAGCCAAGGTTGCCTACCCCTGCTTTAGAAGCATATTGATCTTGTGGAAGCATTGTTAGATTACCCAAGATGCCAAATCGTGTCCAGTACAATTACAACAATTGAAATGGCTGTTGTGCCATGATACAGAATGGTGGCTCACTAACAAAGAGATAGGATAACAGAAGAATGGACTAGTTGTTAAAATGATATTAGAGGTGGGGGGAAAACTCATCAACTGTTCACGCAGGTCATTTTGTATATTTCAAAACTATATTTTTTTTTCCTACAGGGTAGGCTTATGAGGGATATTCCTATGTTATGTTTTGGCCGGCTTCCCTTGAGTTCTCTCTATTTTGCTATCAACAGGCAGTTGTCCAATCTCATTTTTACAGCAATAGAGGCAATCCAAGATATAGAGCTTGGATGTGTTTTTAATACTGAAAAAAAATGGTTTGGTCCAGTCCCCAGTTAATGATAAAATATGGAAGATTTAAGTTTTACAGAAGGAGAAATAGGGAGGACTTTGTGCACCATCTTGTTGAGTTTCTTTCAAAGTTGGCCACTTTAAGATGTATGGACTTCAACTCCCAGAATTCCCCAGCCAGTATGTTCCTAGTAGAATCATCTTCAGCATGCTGGCTGAGGAATTCTGGGAGTTGGAGTATACACACCTTAAAGTTGCCAAGTTTGAAAAAATACAGCTTTAATTCAGCCCCCTTGGATAAGGCAATTCCAGACAAAAGCACGCTCTTTTAACCACGTGGTTCCTTTTTAAAATTACTTTTCTCATCAGCATATTTCTCCTAATGTTCAGTTAAAAGCAAGCATCCTGTAATTTAAAGCTGTTAGTTCCAATCCTGCTATCTAGGACCGCCGGGAAGGTGTCTTCGTCCTTTCCTAGGTAACCTCATGAGACTGATGGATGCTATCTGACATGAATTAAACATATTCCATTATTCCACGCTGCTTGGTTAATGTTTGAAGGAAGACGATGCATTCCATCTGAAAAATGTGAATAAGGGAAGCAGGGGCATCCTGACTGGGTGCTTTGCTCCAGTCTGAAGGGTCCTGCCCTGATAATCAGTGCACTGATGATGTTATCTAGTTGGGCGATGAAATGTCTGCAGGGAAACAGCCAAGCTCAGAGAGCACCAAGGACCCCTCATTTCAACCCTGAACTACAAAAACCTCTTTCATGGATTTGCTCTAATCTGGAAAGCTGCTTCCATTGTATCCTTCATGACACCATATCCCAGTGATGGTGAACCTTTTAGACACCGAGTGCCCAAAACCCACTCCACTCCCTGCCCCGCCCACTCTGCTCTGCCCCTTGCCCCACCTACTCCACCCCGCCTCCTGTCCCACCCACGCCCCCCGCAGGGCCACCTACCACGGTAGATCGCCCAGGCAGCCCTGCAGCACCATGGCGGCCACGCAGCAGATGATGCTGCGGGGCGCAGGGGCAGAGTCTTGTACCAGCTGCCATGTCCTTGGCTGCGCTGCTCTGCACGGGCCACAACCGGGGGCGACTCTCCTCCGGGGGGGCTGCTGGTAAGGAGAGGGCCATGGGGGAGGCGGGGCTGGGGCAACAGCGCGCATGCCCACAGAGAGGGCTCTGAGTGCTGCCTCTGGCACGCATGCCGTAGGTTTGCCACCACTGCCATATCCCATCAGCCATAGTTTATGCACAACCATAGCCATCTACACAGCATATATTTGCCCAGGGGAAGAATGTCCCTGTATCCTCTCTGGAGGACTTTATTATCACAATTCAGGTAGTCCTTGATGTGCGACCATAATTGAGCCTGAAATTTCTATTGCTAAGTGAGACAAAGGTTTTTTTGCCCCATTTTGCGACCTTTCTTGTCACGGTTCTTAAGTAAATCACTGCAGTTGTCAAGTTGGTAACAACAGTTGTTGAGTGAAACTGGCTTCCTCAGTGACTCTGCTTGTCAGGCGGTCACAAAACGTGATCCTAGGACGCTGCGACTGTTAGAAATACAAGACAGTTGCCCAGTGCCTGAATTTTGATCACGTGATCATGGAGATACCGCAACGGTCACAATTGTGAAAAACGGTCATAAGTCGCTTTTTTCAGTGCCATTTTAACTTTGGTCACTAAATGAATGTCGAGGACTGCCTGTATTTCATTTTGTCAGTTTCAAGTCAAGCTTGGCATTCTTACTCTCCTTTTGACAATGCCCAAGGAGCAAAGTTTCCATCCAAAGGCAAAATATCCCAGATTTCATAGCAAGATGGTGCTCAGGTTTGTCCCAATCGGCTTTAGCATGGCTGTCATGAAAATCAAGAATCAAAAAAAGAGCAGAACAAAAACAATGACCTTTTCACACCTAGTACTGGGAATAGGAACAGTTCTAGAGGACAAATTTGGTATAAACGGGCCAAAACATAATGTGCGAATATGGATTGCTTCTTGTGCAGTATGCTTTAAATATATGTGTGTGTTGGTGAAATGCCTATTTCTGAAGATTTGTTAAATATTTTTTTAAATGTTGTTTTGTTTAAAAAGTTGAGATATGTTATAATTTTCTTGGGGAAAGGAAGGAAGGAAGGAAGGAAGGAAGGAAGGAAGGAAGGAAGGAAGGAAGGAAGGAAGGAAGGAAGGAAGGAAGGAAGGAAGGAAGGAAGGAAGGAAGGAAGGAAGGGCTTCTAAAGTATAGATAGCAAGAGTCAATAAGAAAAGGAATAATGATCTTTATATAGCTTGACTTCCACCTCTCTGCTGTTCTTCAGATGTGGTGGGACTGCAGGTCCCATGCTTCCCATCCATGCTGACTAGAAAATTTGAAAGTTGCCATCTCAATACACCTGGAAGCTTCCCAATTGGAAAAAGCAGCTTCAAATCTAAATATTCAACTGCTTTTCTTTATTCTACGTGACCATTAATCTCAACACTCCTGCAGCAAACAGTTGACTTTCAACAAGGAATATTCAATCTGGATAGTCAACCAGAAACTATATTGCTCCTAAGGCTGTTTGGCTGGATTTTTTAAATGCAAAGAACATTATTTTCAAAAGGTAGAATATACATCAAACAATTGGTTTCAGATGAAAGTTACCTAGGACTCAGTGTCCTGTTTTCAGGAATTTCATCTAGCCTCCACTTGCTGCTAAGACAAAACATGTTTTCAGTAAGAGAACAAGATCACCCGTTTACACCCCTATTTTTGTAAAATCATGTGCTTTATAAACCTCATTTTAACCTCATATAGGGATGTGTGTGAGTTTATACTCATGCACTTAGAGAAATCTAATTTTCTTTCTTTCTTTTTTAATGATGAAACTAATATGTTACAGCCATAACCTCCCTGCTTTTGATTCAGAGCCACTTTGATTTGTATGTTTTCAATCTGCGTGAGGTTGGTTCTATTAAAATTGCTACCCAGATGAAATATGGCGCAGAGGGGGGTTAGGGAAATTATAGATTCATCAAATACCTCTGTGATGTTTTATACAATTTACAGCCAGTTAAGCATTCATAAATAGAATATCAGATGCCAGACGAAACGGAGAGCTGCAAGTATTGTTTGGGAAAAAAACATCTCATATTCTTGTCCTTGAAATTTATTTCTGCTTCTTGTGGAAAAGATTTGAAGAGCTACACTTACAGCTGTTGGAAACTGCCTTGTTTCTCCTAAGAGATCTTCCATGAACTCCATTTTAATCAATTTTTTCCTTTTTCTGTCTTTTAACTGGGGGGGGGGGGAGTTGGGATCTACTGCAGATTTCATAGAGCATGTTTTGCATTAATATTTTAAAATGCCCAGGGGAAGCTAACTTTATGCCAGGGTGAGCCTATGTAGCTGCCAACCCCTCTACATCACTGCCTTTATCTAATTTTTATTTCCCTCTACAATCCTTATTTCCCTTTGTTTCTCTCTACAAATACTCCCCCCCAAATAATTTAAGCAAGCAAAACAATGGATTTTTCTGCTTTTCAAAAGCCGTGAACATCTAATTTCAATCAGAGGAGTTTTCTGCACAGAGCTCCAGATCATGTGGATGCTAAGTACAATAGCTCTCTTTTAGCAGCCAGAGTTGGGACTGGCGACTTGGTCATTAAGGGAAGTAGCCGTTAAGTGAATCCCCTGGACTTACGATCTTACTTCATGCTTTCCTTTGCTTTATAAACCTGTGAAGGTTGTCAAGGCAAAGGAGTGGTTTGCAAAGTTACTCTTTCATTTTTGTTGTATAGTTAGCGGCCAAAATTTGTGGAAACCTTTTGGGGAAAGTGTACAGTAGAAATGCCACCTTTGGTTAAGTTTCCACCCATTTTTCTTCTAATTTCTTTATAACTGTAGCCTTGTTCACTTAATACTACTATTTTACATCGCTTTCTGGGCGACCAGTCAACTCTTTGCACCATGACTTTAATTTTATGACGTTTTACAAGCTCATTAAATGAAAGAACAAAAAAAAAAACCCCAACCAACTTGATAGCGATCACATAACACACTGACAAATGTCCTCCTCTCAGCTTCAATAAATGAGATCGATAACTGAATCCTACTGTGATCTGATTAGCTCATTGCCAAAACAAGATGTCACCTGATTGGCTCTCTAAACACTCATGCTCATTGGCTACAATCAGATGAAGGAAAGCCACCTGATATCAACCTAAGCAAGTTGTGATTCCTTTTTCTGGTTATTTGGCTATAACTTTTCATAGAATACAGTACAGATAATTGAACAATCTTTGTTGCATTTCATTCTTGATTAAATTATCTTTCCATTGATATATAATTGTATGGTACTACTCCCCCAAGAAAGTGGTGTTATTAGCCATCAAGCCTCAAAAATACACTTTTCCCAAAAGGTTTCTACAATTTTGGCCACTACTGTAACTGTAAAAAGCCACTAAATAAGGCAGACGCTAAATGAGGACTGTCTGTATAAATATAGAATGCACGTATCCCACAGCGGTCACTTTCTAAGCTTTTGGTTTGCAAGCTGGCTATAAATGGCTCCACGCCCACAGGACAGACCCTGATACTATATGAAGGGACAATTATTTCTTGGAAATTCCTGATCTCTTTTAGAGTGGCATTCTTCAGGAAAAATAAAACATGCACCTGTTATTTTATTAATTTGCTCTTTTTTTTTAACTATGAAGAAGAACAGAATTCTTTTAAACCATTCCGTTACACATTCCTAAGCAAGGGTCCTTGAAAATTGCACTGAATGCAGTGAAACCCATACATATATACATACATACATTATCTTGAGTTTGGTGCACCCTGTCGGCCCAAATATGGGAGAAATATTTGGGCCGACAGGGTGCACCAAACTCAAGATAATTCTTCTCCCCTGTCTCATAGCTGACAAAGTGAGAAAGAGCCTGTGGTCTAGAGGTTAATACATCTGCCTAACATGCAGACAGCCCAGGTTCGAATCTCAGAAGGGTATGTCTGGTTGAAAAGAACTAAAAAGTTTGAAATGGCTATTCCAGTTCTCTCTTAATTCTTTGTTAGCAATCCAAATTTTGAAAAACATACATACATACATACATACATACATACATACATACGTATGTACGTATGTATGTATGTATATATATATATACAGTATATAATGCATATGTATATATATACACACATACATATGCATATTCAAGTAACATTTTATAGAGCTGTACAATTTTGATTTATTTTAAAATAATGGAGTGATCAGCTAAAGACAAAATTTTGCACGCAGAAACCAAAGAAGAAAGAAAAACTCATATCATGACAGTTTCCAACATTCACTGAGCAATAGTTTGTGGGTTACAAAATTAAGCACAAGGTGTTAGGTGTGGTTGATCCTTCCCCTTCCCCATCCTTCTGCCCTTACAGTTTCTTGTCTGCTTCTAATACTTAACTCTCTAGAGCTTTTTATTAAATCTGACCTGGAAGAACTCTGCTTAGATCATAGTCAGGTTAGAAAGAAGACAAGTTTGATAAACCAAGTTTTTCAAATTTTAACAGATCAGGACATTCCTGCTTCTCAAGTCTAATTAGAATACAAAATGTGATTAGCATAAAGATTTATTATTTAATATTCCAACTTGGAAAATGTGGAAAAATATGGGGAAAAGAAGGGATCTTCCTTCTTTCCTTTTTCTCTTCCATCCTTCCTTCCTTCCTCATTACTCAAAGCCAAAACAACTTAAGACAAAGATGTTTTTTTTTAACATTAAGAGAGACCAATCCCAAATTAACAGATCCATTTCTAAGCTAAAACGTCACCCAGACAGATTTCTTTGCAGAAATTGGCACGCAATGAGACCCTGTTTACATACCATCCTATCCAATGTTTTGATCTGATTTGGAGATTCCCTCAATCTCTGGAGCAGATTTGGGGAATGGGCAGGAAGGGATGGTATGGAATATATTGGGGAGAGGGGGATGAATTCCCTGAGCAATGAACATTTGTCATCATGCTAACCAGGGATGTTTGCAGCAAATCGGGGCACGGGGGCCAAAAATGTCAAAGCGGCAGCCACAACCACAGCTACCATTTTGACTTTTGGGGTCCCCTCTACAGAGCTCTTTGAGATTCTAAACACTTTGACTACCCACATATGGGGTCCTATAATCAGTGGCAAAATTATAGAACATCTCAAAAAAAGACTCTGAAAAAGACTCATGCAGATGTCTCAGAATTATTCTAACATCTCATCTGAGTCAAGCGTGATGCAGAATCCCATCCAGCACTAGCCAATCTGATTTCGTATACCAGCCAAAGATGGCTAAAAGCATCATACAGGTCCCGGTACTTAAAAATGATTGCGAATGGAAGTTTTCTTTCCAATTCAAATAAAAGATACAGAGACCAAACTAAATTAAATGGTAAGGGCAAAGGTTTCCCCTGCCCAGTTGCGTGCGACTCTAAGGCACGGTGCTCATCTCCGTTTCTTGGCTGAGGGAGCCAGCGGTGTCCAAAGACATTGTCCATGGTCATGTGGCTAGCATGGCTATGTACCAAAGGTGCACAGAACACTGTTACCTTCCCATCAAAGTGGTACCTATTAATCTACTCGCATTTCCATGCTTTCAAACCACTAGGTGGGCAGGAGCTGGAGCCAGGGACGGGAGCTCACCCATTGCACAGCGTTCAAGTCCCGGGCTGTCAGCTTTCCAGCTGACAAGCTCGGCATCTTTAACTGCTGAGCCATCGCGCCCTCTTCTAAATTAAATGAGGGGCCCAAAATTTAAACCACGGCCTCGTCAATCACATGGCAAATGCTCCCGCCGATCAACTTCAGCTCCTGATGACTACCCGAACGCATTCGTGACGTTTTCCTGACAACCGCACAGAAGTGGTCTCCCGAGATATTTTTATCTTTTTGACTTCTCCGGCAAGTCAACGCTGCTAGTCAACCCCCAATGACCTTCTCTCTTAAATACTAACCAGGTCTGAGATCAGCCAAGGTCGGCTAGGTGCTGCCACCTAGCTAGAAATGTGTGTTAGACTTTTTCCCCCCCCACCAATCTATCCAACCACAGGGCTGTTCTTCACCAATTGTCGTGAAGTTTGCTGATACCCAAAAAGACAAAGAGCAAAGACGTTTACAACAGCAGTTGGCACAACAAATGCAACAGCTCAATACTGCCACTTGGGGAAACCTTACAGGCCTCGGAGGATTTACCCCACAGTACCTGGCTGTAAGTAATCATCACACTTCTTTACAATATTTTCAAAGCAAGCTGGCCATGCTGGGTTGCGTGGGCATGGTTTAAATAAAGCAGGGGGTATCTCTGCCATTAAAAGGTTGTGGAAATGAACTCGTTGCATCAAATTGTCCCGCAAGGGGATGTGTAAGAATACCTGAGATTAAGATAAAGATTGCGGTGAGATGTCCTCCCACTGATGCTGTCTCATTTTAATAGATGAAGTTTCTGGGTGAACGATTGTATTCTGAGGATGTCCCTGCCAGCATGCCAATAGAGAAGTTTGCATATCTAATTGCAGTTCTGAGCTTTACATCCCTGGAAATGTTTTAGACATTGATGTGAAGTCTACATTTTTGCCTTTTTCTAAGCAATGGATTCTGTATATTTATCTCTCTTTAATAGTTTCAAACTTTAGAAGCCACATTCGCACAACATGCTCAGCTTGGTTAAGGCCTGGTTTACTTGCTTCCTTATTCTTGGCTTAGTGTGTTGTGTGAAAGCAGTGGGTTTTATTCGTTCTTTGATGCAACGCAAAATGCAACATTAGAAAATGGGTTAATTGAGTAACCAGGTCAAGCATATAGTATGAAGAACACAGTTGTCTACTATGGAGATTCTCAGTCATCCAGGTCGTGGTTGTCTCAAAGGAGCTTTTTCAAAAAGCAACTGGTCAGAGAAAGTCCAGTTGCTTTTTGAAAGAGCACCTTTGGGAAAAACACAGCTGAAATTCAAATACAGGTAGTCCTCGGCATATGACCACAATTGAGCTCAAAATTTCTGTTGCTAAGTGAGACAGTTGTTAAGTGAGTTTTGCCCCATTTTACGACCTTTCTTGCCACCGTTGTTTAAGTGAATCCCTGTAGTTGTTAAGTAAGTAACGGGGTTTTTAAGTGAATCTGGCTTCCCCCATTGACTTTGCTTGTCAGAAGGTCCCAAAAGGGGGGGTCACATGACCCCAGGACATGGTAACTGTCATAAGTATGAGTCAGTTGCCAGGCGTTTGAATTTTGATCATGTGACCCATTGGAAGGCTGCTACGGTCGTAAGTGTGAAAAACGGTCAGAAGTCACTTTTTGCAGTGCCGTTATAACTTTGGACGGTCACTAAACGTACTGTTGTAAGTTGAGAACTACCTTTATTTGGGACTGCAGTCTGTATCTCGCGTTACCCAGAAATAAGGCCTATTAAATTTAATGGGACTTGTTTCTAAGTAGACATGTTCAGTTTGTACTAAAGCAGGGGTAGGCAACCTTGGCTCTTTTATGACTTGTGGACTTCAACTCCCAGAATTCCTGAGCCAGCCATGCTGAGGGGAAAGCGAGAGATTTCCAAGCTGAGCCATGCTGGCTCAGGAATTCTGGGAGTTGAAGTCCACGAGTCATAAAGCGGCCTAGGGCAGGGGTAGGCACCCTTGGCTCTTTTATGACTCGTGGACTTCAACTCCCAGAATTCCTGAGCCAGCATGGCTAATCATGGAAACCTCTCCCTTTCCCCTCAGCATGGCTGGCTGAGGAATTCTGGGAGTTGAAGTCCACGAGTCATAAAAGAGCCAAGGTTGCCTACCCCTGTACTAAAGGGTTCATAAATAAGCTATCAATTCTCTCTGATTTTTGGAATCCTGACCCGGAAGCATTTGGTGTAAGCTCTGTGTGCTTCACACATTCTCATACCATCCTACTTTTCTTGTTGAGATTTGTCCATCCATAAATGGCTGCCTCACAATGGCTGTGTTCACACAACATGCTTCCTCTGGTTCATCAACATCTGAAACTGCCATGATGCCAAAGGAACACCCCACCAATGCCACCATCACACATTGGCATCGTGACACAAGAACAGTACATCACCGGTTGCTTTTCAGAGATGATTTGGTCGCGCACAAGTCATCGTTTTGTCTCCCCTTCCCCACAACCCTATTTTCTGGATGTGCATAATACACTTTTACACTTTCACACTTGAGTTGTCAGCAAAAATGCAGCTTAGACACACAAGGAATAAATAAATAATGGTTTGCATTTACACAACATGTAACAATTAGCACTAAGCAAGTGCAAATCATCATGTGAATGCCACCTCAAGGGTTATTAATGCCTGATTAAGAGTGTCGGATGGACACGGGCAACATTTTTTTTAATGAAATAAATTAGGATAGTTTAGCGCCCAAAATTATTTACACAACATTTTATTCTCAGTGCTTTAATTAATACAATACAATCCCTGTGTTCACATATGCTGAGAAAAACAAGTTATATTCTGCTTTATACGATAGCCTAGTTCATCCAATATATGCTAAGCCACTAACCATCTTAACTTCATTATAGCCTAATCAAGACTGTTATGTCAGAGCCTTTTTTGAATTAGATAAAGGAAGTATATAATTTCTGTTTTAGTGTTTTAGATTTGGTAGGAAAAATGTAAGAAAATCCAAATGGAAAATCAATTTGCAATCTTTTTGTCATATGAAGATGTTCAGTGGCTGGTATATTTTTAGGAGAAGGTTATTTGGAATATATTTTAGCAACCAGATCAACTGAAGACTGACTGGCTGCATTCACACAACAAGCTAAGCTTGATTTGTTTACTTTGTGTGTGTGTGTGTGTGTGCAGAACTTAATAAGTTGTAAAATTATTTAGTAGATTGACTATTGCACAAATCAGCAAAATGGGTAACTTAAGAATCAGGTTAAGCCTTTTAAGGCAACCATTGTTTTAACATGTAATTATAATAGACGGAGGGAAAGAGCCAGTTCTTTGGCAGATAATTCTGTTCCACAATTGGTTCACCATGATAGTGCACCATGATAGTGCATTTTTAAAAAAAATTCCCATTTACATGTGCAAACCACATGTATACTTCCTTGTAAAATGGAATGGTTGGATTTCTAAATACAACACACTAACCCAGGTCAACTGAAGACTGACTGGCTGCATTCTGAAACCCAGATGAACAAATCACAATTCCTTGCCTTCACATAACATGTGACAGCCGAACATATAAGCCAGGGGTCTTCAAACTTGGCCCTTTTATGACTTGTGGACTTCAACTCCCAGAATTCCTCAGCCAGGAGTTGAAGTCCACAAGTCATAAAAGGGCCAAGTTTGAAGACCCCCGATATAAGCCATCATACAGCTTTACTTGGTTCACCTGATCTGCAAAGATATGGATACAAATACATCACTTCCTTGTGAAAGAAGAAACATTCAACGTATGATCTGGGAGAGAGGACCTCCACCGCTAGTCCAACCTACACCAACTATGTACTCTCAAAATGTGTTGGAAGTGTACAATTGCAAGAATTCCCAGCTGGGAATTATGGAAACTGCAATCTAAATTCAATGGGGGAGGTTGGGAAGGAGGCCTTGAGACCTGAAGAACTTCTGTTGTCCCTGTCTGTTAAGTTTTCCTTACCCCCTGGCTAGATATTGATACAGAAAAGAAGTCTATTTTTCCCTGATGGTTTTGATATGTTTTCCATCATATTGACTTCAAAGTCACGCACAGGTTTGGTAAAAGGAAAAGCCACCATGTGGGGGAATCTCTCGGGAACAAATAATAAGCATTCCCAAATCCTTTCTTCAAATTATCCGCCACCCTGTGTACCTGAGCATTTCAATATCTGTGTTTTGAAGACCTGATGTCTTCTACACTCCTCCGGATCTCAAGTTCTCCAGATCTCAAGTCATTCTACACCCTTTCCATCGTGATTGACATTAGTTGTTCATAAATATACGGAATTAATGAATATGAACATGTTCAGTGGCAGTCTTCTGCACAGGAGGGGAAAAAATAATTATCTCAATCTCTCAATGATCTGAATTATGTGGTTTGTCACTTCCCCCACCTCTGTCGCCTTTCCCTGCTGTGCGTTTCGATAAAAAGGGGCCAAGCTCCACAATTATATTTTCTGAATGCAGCATCAGTACACACAGGAGTGGCACTGCGGGCTTTCATTCAATACATCTATTTTAAATTTCATAATTGGATGTCGGTTTAAAAAGATTTTTTTTTCTTGGCAAGATGGTTCAGATTTCCAGTTAACCAAAGTATTTTCACAGCACCTTCCTTCCTCCCCTTTCCACTCATGTATTAAGCTGTGTAAGTAACTGCCTGCTTTGATCAAACCATGATAGTTAGCTCTATTGCAACCAGGTTTTCCATGAGGCTTGCAGCTTAGACTGACAGCTGGGTTTGAAGGATCAGGACAACAAAATTGGAATGAACCTTCACTACTCACTGAGACATTAATCAGAATAAGACATTTTTACAAAGTTTGGGATAAGCTTTGATCGCCACTGTGGGACAGAGACAGAACTACATGCAAGTCTCTTTCAGGCAAACGAAACTGGAAGCAGAAGTTGGGAGAAAAGAAAAGGAACTCTAAATCTATTTTACATGAACATCCACAATGTGCACCTCCTGACTTTGGTCCTTGAAATTCTGCACCTTCATTCCACCCAACCATGAGTTTCTGTCTTCCCCTTTCTTTGGACCCACAAACTCTTCCTCCATGTATTTCTTTTGCAATTTTATTCTCGGCCATCCTCTCTGTGTGACTGAATAATCTCATTGTTGTTCTCTCTTCCCGGATATCTTTGATCCCATCTCTTCCTCTTTTTACTGCATGTGCTTCTAAACTAACCCATTCCCACAAAATTCATCTTACTTCATGGTTCAACTGACATGCCTGATTCTCAACGTCCATGTAATAATGTAAATCAGGGATGTCCAACCTTGGCAACTTTAAGACTTGTGGCCTTCAACTCACAGAATGCTGGGTGAGGAATTTTGGAAGTTGAAGTGGTAACTTTAAGACTCATAGACTTCAACTTTCCCACGCTGGCTGGGGAATTCTGGGAGTTGAAGTCCACAAGTCTTAAAGTTGCCAAGGTTAGACATATCTGATATAGACAGTAGCTCATTTTTATCAACAACTGCTTTTTTCAACAAGCTTTCGTTCTTCACACTAATCACACACTGCCTATTATAATTT